TCCATGCTCACGGCAGCACACCCCGAGGTGGTGAGCACTTAGCAGAGAACCGCAGGAGATGAAGACAACACGAGGAAACTGCCAGCCTCCTGAGTTCAGGAACTGGTCTGATTTATCTTCGTTTTTCCTGGACTTGCCACACTTTCTCTTGCTGGCTCAATAAATGCCTCTGGCATTGAGATCACTTCCTGGAAGCAGGTCTACTCGCCAGCCATGGTTTCAAACCTTCCCTTCTCTTCTGCATCCAAAGCCACCGAGGCCCTACTTGGAGCAGATGTCCTAGAAGATGGGAGCACTTGCTTGAAGGCTCTCAACCCTTTTTGCCAAAAGATTCCTCCGTGTCTCGAAAACACTTCATTCTCATCTCAAAAGATGTTCCCTCCCTTCCTCTTTCTACAATCGTCTCCCTCCCTATTTCCTCCAGAGACTGGCACCCTCCGGCACCTCATCCTCGCATCAGCAGTTGCCTCCCCTTCCTGCCCTGGACACACAGTACAGAGGGCACCGAAGGACCAGGGGACTCAGAGGACCAGGTGTTTCAAGTGGGCCTTGCAGGAGAGAGAAAGGGCCTGAGCCCAGCCCATCATTTCCAAAGCAAGGCCCACAACTGCTGACTTGCTTTCTCTCAGGCTGCCACGCATACCCCAGCAGCCTGAAGAAAGAAGCCTTTCGAGGCCCTTCAGATGTCAGGAGTTCTCCCCAGACCATGCAACAGTCAGCAGATATTCAGCTTAACCATCTGCTAACTGTTTTCCCCAGAAGAAAAGCTCTCTGACTGCTTAATGTGGCTTTCCTCTTTAGAACTGACATACCCTAACTAAATCATCACGGACCAGGAAATCGAGTCTCGACACAGGGTTTCTTAGCCTCGGCACTGTGGCCATCTCAGGATGGTTAGTACTTTGTCGCAGCAGGCCCATCCTGTTCATTGTAGGATGTCTAGCAGAATCCTTGGCTTCTGCCCACTAGATGCCATTAGCATCCCCCCACCCCAAGCTGTGACAACAAAAATGTGTCTAGAAATTACCAAATGTTCCCTGGGGGGGCGCAATAATCCCTGGTTGAGAACCACTGCTTTATTGTCTGTTGACCAGAGCAGGGCTGGGAGGGCCCTTCGATGCTCTTCAGAGAAAACTTTAGACCAGAGAAATGGGTCACTGCCACGTGCGGGCCTTGATTTTCCAAAGCAAGTGTGGTCCAACTGGATTCCCAGTCTTCCCCACTGGATTTCTAAATGTCCATACATCGTATCTGCAGGAAGACAATTTATTCATTCATTCCTATACGTCAAACAATCTGGGTGCCTCCTATACGTCAACCACTGTGGGACATGCTGTGGACACAGAGGTAAGGAAGGATCCATCCACGTGCACACGTCCCCTGCCTGCTGCATCCCAACAGCGCAGACCTGGGCAATGCTTGCCCTGGAGACCAACACCTTGTCCTGGCTCCAGGTTCTGGCTCAGTCTGAGGACAAAATCAGCATCTTTGGTTCATGATACCCAAAGGATTACTAGGTGGTGCCCGACATATCAGTCAGCTCAGGCCACCAGAACAAAGTCCACAGACCAAAGGGCTTAAACAACACAGCTCTGGAGGCCGGAAGTCCAAGGTCAAGGGGTCCGCAGCTTTGGTTTCTCCTTGACTTGCCGATGGCCATCTTCCCCGTGTCCTCTCACGGCCTTTGCTCTGTGTGAGCTCATCCCTAACGTCTCCTCCTCTTCTTACAGGGACGGCCAGCCCTGATAGATTAGTGCCTTACGACCTCATTTAACCTTCGTCACCTCCTTAAAGGTCCTATCTTCAAATAGAGTCACATTGGGGGGTCAGGGCTTCCACATATGAACTTGAGGGCACACAGCGCAGTCCCTAACTGTGCTAGGCAATACAATCCCTGAGCTGAGGAAAAAAGAAATGTGTTTGGAAACAAGAGGGAATTCCAAGGAAAGGGAGAAAGCCAACAAG